GGGGGGGATGGAGAGGGGGAGGAGACAGTGAGAGGGGCAGGAAGCAAGGGCAGGAGTGATGGGCGTGGAAGGGAAGGGGCGAGGAAAGACAGAGATAGAGAGAGAGAGGGAGAGAGAGAGGCGAGGGAAGGGGAAATGGGGTGAGGGAAAGGGCGTGCGGGAAGGGCAGCGTGGAGAAGGGCAGGGAGGGGACGGGGGAAGGGGACGGAGGAAGGACGGTGAGGAAGTGGGAGGGGGAAGTAAACCGACGAAGGGAAGGCAGGGAAGGGCATTGGGGAGGGAAGGGCAAGGGATGGGGAGGGGAGGGGAGGGCGGGAGGGAGGGCGGGAGGGAAGGCGGGAGGGCCGCAGCGAGGCCCCGGCCCGACGCCGCGCCGCCCTCCGCCGAGAGAGGCACCAGAACGCCACGACGTTCATGAAGCGGCTGCAGGCGAGGTTCCAGAGGACCCGGGACATTCCCGAGAAGCTCAGGCGGGGCTTTTCAGGAGAAGGGTGGTTCGATGCTCGTTTTGGGGACCTTCCTGGGGATTTCCGAGCCTTCTGGGATGGCCTCCTCCTTCTCACTCCGCCCCCCCCTCGCTTGCCGCCGAATTGTGGTGTTGGTGGTGAGGATGAGACGGGCGATGTTCAGGACTCGAGGAGGAGGAGGTTCGGGGAGCACTTCCCGCGCGTCACCAGTCCCGTCCCGATCCTCGAGCTGGGGGGCGCGCACCTGCGGGCCGAGCTCGGGATCGGGACCTGGGCGTGCGACGTCGGGATTTTTCCATACGGGGTCCCGGGAGTTCCCGACCCTCTCCCCAGGGTTGGGCGGGTGGTAGGGAAGAAAAAGGCCCTACAAGTGGCCCTCTTGGGCCCCTTATGGGCCCCTGCTGGCTTCAAAAGGGGCTCCGAAGGGCTCCTATGGGGGCCTTTTCCTCCACTCTCCACGTATGTCCCCCCCCCATTTACCACCCGCCCGAGAGGTGGAGGAGGAGGAGGAGGAGGAGGAGGAGGAGGAGGAGGAGGAGGAGGAGGAGGAGGAGGAGGAGCCCTGGTTTTATCACTCCCCCAGGGCCGACCAGCCCTTGGTGGGTGGGCGGCTTCGTCAGGAGACCATACAGCCGACAGGAACCAAGAACCATCAGGATGAGGGGGAGAGGAGTATTCAAAGCAGCAGGAGCAGGAGGAGGCGTACGAGGAGGCATCCAAGGATGATGATGATGATGATGATGATGATGATGATGATGATGATGATGATGATGCTGATGATGCTGCTGCTGATGATGAGGAGACTGATGATGATGTTGATGATGATGCTGATGATGATGATGACGATGAGGAGGATGCTGATGCTGATGCTGATGATGATGATGAGGAGGAGGAGGAGGACCAGGAGGAGGATGAGGAGGAGGATGAGGAGGATGAGGAAGAGAAGGAGGAGGAGCACGAGGAGGAGGAGGAGGAGGAGGAGGAGGAGGAGGAAAAAACGGAGGATGCTATTTGGGAGAGGGGTATTCAAATCAGCAGGAACAGGAGGAGGAGGCGTACCATGAGGCATCCGATGATGATGATGATGATGATGATGATGATGATGATGATGATGATGATGATGATGATGCTGATGCTGATGCTGATGATGATGATGATGCTGATGCTGCTGCTGCTGCTGATGATGATGATGATGCTGCTGCTGATGATGATGATGAGAATGCTGATGCTGATGATGAATATGATGATGATGCTGACGAAGATGATGATGATGATGATGATGATGATGATGATGATGATGATGATGATGATGATGATGATGATGATGATGATGATGATGATGATGATGGTGGTGGTGATGATGATGATGATGATGATGAGGATGATTATGATGATGATGATGCTGATGCTGATGCTGATGCTGCTGATGATGAGGATGAGGATGCTGCAGATGCTGATGCTGATGATGCTGATGATGATGATGCTGCTGCTGATGATGATGATGATGATGATGACAATGATGATGATGAGGATGATGATGTTGATGATGATGATGATGATGATGATGATGATGATGATGATGATGTTGATGATGATGATGCTGATAAGGAGGACCAGGAGGACGAGCAGGAGGAGGAGGACGAGCAGGAGGACGAGCAGGAGGACTTCGAGGAGGAGGGATGGGAACACGAAAGGGGACGCCTCTCCAGGGTCCTGAACCTGGCCATCCGGAGGCCGAGGCACGTGCAAGAGCAGTACGAGAATGGCAGCATGAACCCTGCGAGGCGGGTGTTCGAGGCTCGAGCTTGAGTGTTCGGGCATTCTGAGCCAAAAGCGCGGGAGCGGCGGGTGGAGGGGTAACGGAAGGGTATGGGAGAAGTGGGAAGAGGCGGATGGGCATGATGGTGATGATGAGGATGATGGTGATGGTGATAGTGACGATAATGACGAGTTGATGGGTGTGGGCGGCAATTATGACGAGGATTATGAGGAGGACGAGGAGGGGGAGGGGGGCGGAGTCAAAGGTTGTCGATGACGAGGACTGTGAACATGACAGCGATGTTCAGGTTGATTAGGTTTACGATGGTCACGGCGGAAGTGATGACGTTGGCGATTGTGGTCATGCTGACGGCTTGGTCAACGATGTTGATGAATGCCCATGGTGCTGATGCTTCTTCTTCTGCTGATGATGATGCTGATGCTGGGGATGATTGTGATGACGATGATGACGATGACGATTGCGACGATGACGATGACGATGGCTATGTCGATATAGTGGATGCTGAGTTCGTTGATGATGATGCTGACGATGACGTTGATGAGGATGCTGCTGCTTCTGCTGCTGCTGATGATGATGCTGCTGCTGATGGTGGTGGTTATGATGATGCTGCTGCTGCGGCGGTGGTGGTGGTGGCGATGGAGAAGAGATGACGATGCTGATGATGCTGATGATGATATGGCAGATGATTGCGATGCTGATTATGCTGAGGATGAGGATGAGGATAAGGATGATGATGATCAGGATGATAATGACGACGACGATGACGCCGACGACGATGACGATGACGATGATATTGATGCTGCTGCTGCTGATGATGATGATGATGATGATGATGATGGTGATGATCATTATTATTCGCACTACGACTATTACTATTATTATTGGTATTATCACTATTGTTAGAATGATTAGTTGTATCGTTATTATTGTAATTCTAATGCCATTTCTTCTTCCTTTTTTTTCTTCTCCTTCTCTTTCTCCTTCTTCTCCTTCTTATTATTTACTATTATCAGTATTTTAATTCGTGTTTGTTTGATTTTTCGCATTCTCCTTATTATCATCATTCTTTATGTTATATCGTTATGTTTATGCTTGCCGTCCGTATTACCATTCGTAGTATTCTTAGTCGTATCATTATTGTTATGTTTGTCGTTATCATTATTATTATTATTATCATTCTTATTCGTTTTATAACGTAGCACCCTGGCGGATCAGAGTCAGGGGGTGGCGGGGATCTCGGCAGTCTGCGAGGCTCTGAAGAACCCCGCCGCAGGTGCGTAGTCTTACAAATTATACAGCGAGACCGCCAGAGGCGCCGATGTTTTGGTTACGGCAATATGGGTGGGTCGCGGGCCGGGTCGCCGATGGGTCGCGGGTGGGTCGCGGGCGGGTCGCGGGCCTGGTCGTGGGTGGGTCGCGGGTGGGTCGCTGGCGGGGGCGGATCGCGGGGTGGATCGCGGGTGGGTCGCGGGTGGGCCGCGGGCCAGGTCGCGGGTGGGTCGCGGGCGGGTCGCGGGTGGGTCGCGGGCTGGGTCGCGGTCGGGTCGCGGGCCGGGTCGGGGGGGGGACAACGAACAACAAAGAACAACAATCAACGACAACGACAACCACAACAGCAATAACGGGAACAACAACAGCAGCAGCAACAACAACAACAAAACCATCACCACCAACAACACCGCCACCACCAACACCAGCAACAACGACGACGATCCGCACCGCAGAACCTCACTTCAGCCACCCGCCTAGGGACAGTCAATGACCGTTCGGCCCCCGCACTGTGATTATAACGATGATTATGATGATTAGGATGATGGTGATGATGATGACGATGGATGCTGCTGCTGCTGATCATGTTGCTGATGAGGATGATGATGACCATGAAGGTCATCATGATGATGAGGATACTGTTGATGATGTTGCTGCTGATTATGATGATGATGATGATGATGATGATGATGATGATGATGATGATGATGATGATGATGATGATGATGATGATGATGATGATGTTGATGTTGATGATGTTGATGATGATGATGATGATAATGATGATGATGATGATGATGATGATGATGATGGTGCACAAGTTCCCTGTTAAGATCCAGACAAAGCTACATATCGCAATCCTAGTGGCCCAGCGCCAAATTCTTTGCCAGTGCACAGAAAGGTCTAGCTTTGCGGATCGTTGTGTTGCTCACGACCGTCAGCAGAAAGAGGGTTGGAACTCTTTGGGCTTAGATCTCGATGAAGAAGACATGGGCCTGGCCGGCATGTCGTCGATCGAGCTGGAGACCCACGTCACGAGCATCTACAAGACGATCGTGGACAAGGCTGTGGGGCTCGACCAGCTCAAGAAGAACACCCAGGAGACCAAGATGAAGTACAAAAAAGACCTCATCGACGAGGTGGTGTCGAAATCTCCCGAGGAATACGTAACTATACAATTGAGAAGTTGCTTGATGACAGGCTGGGGAAAGGAAAGGGCAAGAACAAGAACCAGCACGCCGACTCGATTGCCTTGGAAGAGCTCGCAAACAAAAACTGGCGTGCATCTGTCCTCCCAGGATCCGATCAAGCTGAAAGAAGAGGTGATTGTTACGGAGGACAAAGTCGAGGAGGTCCAAAAAACAAGACGTTCCCGCCGGCCGCTGCGGGGAAGCCGCAAGGAGGTAAAGGACAGGGTAACTGCAAAGGCGACGGAAAAGGCAAAAGTAAGAAAGGACAAGGAAAAGACAAGAGCTACCAGGACAAAAGCACGCAGAAGGGGAAGGACAATGGCAAGGCCAAAGTGGAACGCAACAATACGAGCAAGGGCAAAAGCAAGGGCAAGGACTGGACGTCCCCGCGTCCAGGGGGTCCCAGAGGCGGCAGACGATCCAAGCCTTCGAGAGGTCGTGGCAGCGGGTATGCAAACGCGGAGTGGCGCTCTGCTGGTTGATGGTGAAAGGCATGTCCATCCCAGAGTTCAAGCTGCTACTGCCGTGTGGGAAGAAAGCTGGGCTTGCGAGTCTTAACCTTGGAATGATGGTTCGAAGCTTTGTTTCCACCCGGAGGGGAACGAGATCATTTGGCCAGTGGAGTTCCTCTTGTCTTCACATCGACAGCATGCATTAAGACCCCCGCGAGCACCAAGCTTATCCTCAATAGGCCAGTCTGTACCTCATTGGTATCACCGTGCCCGCTGGAATGATACTGTGGAGACGTTGAAGACGGCAGTCCTTGGTGGCGTTTCCGCTTGCGCAAACGCGTGGTGAGCAGCTGCGTCCCCCCTCCTTCCAGAGAAGCAAGAACAAGCTCTGAGTTTCGTGGCCTCAAACATATGGCAGGCATGCTGGGCGGCCAGAGGCCGCTTCTTGAGGAGGCGGAGCGAAGTCACGAACACAACAGGCGTCCACAAGGTTGCCATGACGGCCCTTTGTCATGGAATCTCTGGCGTTCTACCCACGGACAAAGATGGTGGGTATTGTTTGGTGCGTAAAACTGATTTGGTCCAAGAACAGCTTTCAATTCTAAGTGGCCCCAATTATCGAGAGGTGAATTTCACTCAGGACACCCCGCAGGAGTATTTTGACGATAGTCGTAAGAGTGTAATGGTCGCCGGCCGATCGATAGGCGATCTCCGCTTTGCCAGTGCTATTATTTCATGGGGCCAGCTTGGATGCCAGGGCATGGTGTCCACGCTCAAGAACCCCGTGAAACGCACAAAGGCGACGGCGAAGTGACGCTCAGGCCTGTACATGGCAGCGCGGGAAATCCCATGGCGGGAGCAATGAAACACGTTTCTTTGCTTATCACTCCCCTGTTGCGCCGGCAGGGGCACATGCTGGGAGACAGCGCGGATTTGATTCTGAATAAATCGAAGGTCCACCATGTCGCAGACGGTGACTTCTTCATACATTCGACATTAAAGACTTCTTCATGTCAGACAGCCACGACCGACTAGTCAACATGTCATCCAATTTTTCCGAGACGACGGCCAAACGAGCAGCTCTATTGCATTCTTTTTCGTCGTATTCTCAGAAACCACTTAATTTCATTCCCTGGGGGGGGGGGGGGGCGTGCCTGGAAGGTGTGCTTAGGCGCGGGCGTGGGCTTCCGGGGAAGTGGCCGACTCTCTTTTTCTTGCTTTGGTCGAGGCAGATTACGCGACGAAGGCCGATGTGCAGCGATTTTTTCGGAATAAAGCGGTGTGGGGGATCTACAAACAATTGGTGGATCATATTTGGCTGTCGGACATGCAGCCGAGCGCGTGGATATTTCGTGAGGTGCTTCAAGGATCTGGCGGGGTTCTTCAAACTTGAGATCGAGTGCGACACGACGCGCGACGTGCGCGCGTTGGATGTTGAGTTCGGGGAGGATGAGGAATGGCGGCGCGCGTGCAGGCTATCTTACCACGTGCAAGCGAAGCCCGAATCCATATTCGCACTTCTCCTCCAGTCCTCCGCGCGCCCCATCATGCATGTGGGCAGCGCGTGTGCCCGTGCTCTCGTGCGCCGTTTCAAGGTTCTTAGTTGTAGACGGAAAGCCCGCGCGGCTGGGGTCGACGCATGTGCCCAGAGTTTGTTTTCAACAAGCGGATTGAATGTCCTAGCGCAGACTCTCTCCAATCTTGCACCCCGGTGTACAAGAGGACGCCTGGGTACCTGTCTGATTCCCATTATTCTAAAGGAATGGGAGCCAGCTGGATATGGCAAACACATGAAACTCGCGGGGCCTTTTTTTTGGGGCGGACTGGTGCCCGGAGTCTCGCTCAAGCTTGGTTCGAATCCGCCCTCGTGGGGTTCAACAGGAACCCCGGGGGCAGCGACGTCACTGTCGCGAGGGGGCGCGCGTGGAGGTTGGCTGGGGTTGGCGGCGGTTGATTGTCCTTATTGTCCTTTGCCGACGGATGCGATTCATTGATGTCGTCGCCTCTGTAGCTTCTAGCCGCGACGCGCCCGGGCGTCGAGGCTGCGCGCAGGGTTGCTGGGGCCCCGCAGTGCCGGGGGGCATGCCTGAGTTGAGACGCGCACGCGCTCTCTTACACTCGAACAGCAACCAGCGATAACAGCAAGCAACCACAACAGCAACAACGATAACTACAAGAGCAGCAGCAACAACGCCACCACCACCGACACCACCAACATTAACGCCACCAGCGACAGCAACAGCAACAACAAATCGTACCGTAGAACCTCACTTCAGCAACCCGCCCAGGGGCAGTGAATGAACGTTCGGCCCTCGCACTGTGATTCTAACGGTGATTCGGATGATCAGCGCGGTGGTAATGGAGGTGGCGATGTAGCTGCTGCTGCTTCTGATCATGTTGTTGATGAGGATGATGATGGCCGTGCTGATCATGATGATGATGGCGAGGGGGATGATGCTGATGCTGATGATGATGCTGATGCGGGTGCAGGTGCTGATGCTGCTGCCGATGATGATGGCGGTGGTGGGGGGGGGGGGGGGAGGGGGGGGCGCGGGATGTCCGCGAGGCCTTCGCCCATTGCCGCCAATCCCGTTCCTCTTAGACTGAGGCATTCTCAAGCTAAGTTGGAATGCGTGGGCGCCGTCGTGAAGCAATGTCCGGATTTCATGCGAGGGCCAAGGTCGTGCGTTGTGACTTGCGCAGCGAAGCTTAAAAGCATCTATCGACTTTTGACGGTTCGCACTGCGAACTAGCTGATAATCGTGGCTTCGGGGCGCGAACATATCGCAATTGACTGGGGTTCGTTGCCTCGGGGGCGCCGACGGTGCGTTCTTTGCAGAAGGGTTGTGGTTTCGAGGGCGCGAATGTTTATGGAGGATCATGGCTTCGGCGGCGCGCGCGCGGTGTGCGTTGCGATGATTTGCGGCCTCGAAGGCGCGAGCATTGTGTAATTCATTGGGGATCGTGGCCTCGGGGGGGCATCGCGTAATTTGCGAGGGGTCGTGGCCTCGGGGGCGCGAGCGCATCTCTGTCGCCAGTTTGGCTCAACGCCGCAGCGTGTGCTCGAGGGCGCGAGTTGCTCAACGGTGGTGGTGGTGGTGGTGGTGGTGGTGGTGTGGTGGTGGTGGTGGTGTGTGTGTGTGTGTGTGTGTGGGGGGGGGGGGGGCCCCCCCCCCCCCCCCGGCAGCTCCCCGTGGCTCCGCCGCGTCCGCTGCGGATGGACCATTGAAGCATCAGCCTTCACGACTTGCCGTGCCTGTCACCTCCTTCCCCCTTCTTACTTCTGATCGTGGTGGTAGAAACGCGCCCGTCGCTGTGCGTTGCGTCGACGGTTTTGCACCGTGGCAGGCGCGGAGATGAGCGAAGGCAGGGGCGGGGGTGCCGCTGCAGAGTGCGCCTTCCGGCGGGGGGGCCCTGGGTCCGTGCGGCCGCTCGGCTCGAGTGCGCCAAGTGCATGGCGTGTAGAGCGGTGGCCTTCAAGCATAATGTGGTTCCCAAGGGGTCGTCGGTCTCGGTGCGAGCTCTTCTGCCTCGGCGGAGCTCCGTCCAGCTGTCGCGGGCGACGGGCAGCCAGGGGCCCGAGCAGTAGTTGCAGCAGGCCGAGGACCTGCTGCAGAATGAGGAGGGAGCAAGGCCAACGACGTGGCGATTGAGGATGACGAAGGGGCGGCCCCCGCCGACTCCGGGATGGGGAGGCTCGGGGCCAACGACGGGCTGCTTGGGTCGATCAAGGATGGCGCGTCGGAGTTCGCCGCGCCACATTCTTTCCGCCTTCAGTGAGCTACATCCCATTCGCGCGCAGCTCTCGGGGCTTGATGACAAGGTGGCACGGGCCCAGGCGAAGGCTGAACATCGGAGAAGTCGGTCGAGGCCAAGACACAGCGCACCACTAAATTGCAGGCCCAGATCGAGCAGGATAGCCAGCGGCGTGCGCATCATCGCCAGCAGGTGGTCGAGTTCGAGCAGGAGATCCGCGTGGTGGGGTCTGGCACGGCACTATCGCCGAAGTGGCAGAGCGAACGGGCGATTTTTGTTGAGGTCAAAGTTGAGTTCGCTGACTTGGCGGATGTGGTGCGGTCCGCGGGCGGTGGTGATCCGGTCAATTCGCTGCCCGACGTATTGCGCGATGAGCTCAACGAGATGGTCGCCAATCCAGCCGGACCGGGCGCTGGGGGCCAAGGAGTGGGCCAACCTGCGCGCGACGCACCTGAGAGAGCCAAGTCCTTCGAGGATGTCAAGGCGGGCTTCTTGAGTGCTGGGCGCGACGCCCCTGGGGAAGAGGAGGAAACTGCCCGAACGTCCGTGAAACAGATCCGCAGTGCCGCGCAGCAGTTTTCAGCGTCTTCGTGCAAGGTCCATGTCTGGCTTCGCTCGTGTGATATATATCTCCTGCTGATGATGACGTGTGCCTAATCTTGTAGCTCGTCGGCTCTGCGCCCAGAGGCCGGGCCGCTCGCCCCTCGCCGTTTCATGGGCCAGGCCGAGGTTGATCCGTTCATGATCGACGACTTCCGCTGCTGGGGCGTTGACGAGGATGTCGCGCAAAACGGGATGGCCCTCTCGCGTTCGCGCGACCGGGGCCCTCCTAGTCGACCCCTGTGCCGCAAACGGCCCTGCGGCAGACCCCGGGGCGAGAGGGCGCGGCGCTGCGCGCCGAAGGGGGGGTCGCGAAGTTCGGTGTGGTTGCTGGGGCCAGTGGCGCCGTCGACTGGTTCACCTTCGAAGCCGCGTGAAACGCGGTCAGGATCAGTGCAGTCGCAGGTGCAGTCGGTCCACGAACGCGGTCCTGCGTGTCAGCAGGCCTCAGTGCGCTCGCAGGTGCAGTCGGTGCGCGATCGCGGGGCTGCTGGACTGCAGGTTTCTTTGCAGTCACAGGTGTGGTCGGCTTACGAACGTGGCCCTGTGAGTCAGCAGGTCTCAGTGCAGTCGCAGGCGCAGTCGCAGTGCGTGGTGCAAGAGACGCGTTCGAAGCGAGCTCGAAGTTCAGATCCCTGGCGCGCCCGAGGGTTTTCTTCGGGGCGCCGAACGTCACTTCGCGTGGCCCGCTATGCGACTACATGGGCGGCCAGCCAGTGCATGTGGTGGCGTGGGGTGCAGGGGCACCGCGCCCCGATTGAAAACCTGGATCGGGTGCAGTCTCGCTTTCACGATGTTGGCTACCATGGCGCCTGGGCGCTTGCGACTGCGGCGGGCAAGGGCGACGGTGTGTCTGCAGGCGTGGCGGTGACGGCCAAGAGCCGCGCGCCCCTCGCTAGCCCTCCTGCCGCGTCGTCGCCGCCCCTCGGGGAGGGCAGGCTGGTGGCAGTTCGCACCCGTTTGGGGCGTGAAGCGAGGCGTCGTGCTCGCGTCAGCTTGCCTGCGCCCCAGCGAAGAACGCGGGCCTGTCAGCGACGAAACCCTTCGCGAGCTCTCTCGCGCTATGTGCACGCGCCCAATTGTCTCTGCATGGGCTGGTTGGTGCTCGGGGGCTCTAATATGACAGTGGAGGAGCTCGGGCTTGGCTGGATATGCGCACTTGGCGGAGTCGCGATCGCGACATCAGCCGCCGCCGGCAGCCTGGGCGAGGGCAGCGCGATCGTCGACTGCGCGCTGGTGGTGGCCAACTGGGCCATTCAGATCGGCGTGCCTGAGGCGGGCGAGGCCGCTCTCATTTTGCCTCGCAGACGGTTTTGTATCCGTTGCGCACGGTGGATGTGACGCGTCCCCGCCAGTTGGCCGTGCTCGCCCCCCAGAGATTATCGGCGGGTGCCCAGCTTGATGCGGGTGGCTGTAAATCAGGAGTCGCTGAAGGTTGCCCGGGGTGCAGTCCCGATGGAGATTGCGCGCTTCTGGATCGCTGGTATGTGGCAAGACGGGGGCGCGAGAAGCGTGGTGGGCGTGGAGGCGATGGGCGCGAAATGAGTCGCCAGGCAGTGGGGGCCTCAGCATTCGGCTTCAGCGGGGCTCGGTGGCGCGAGCTTGGGGGGCTGCGGCCAAGTGGGCCAGGCGCGTCGTGGCCTTTCGCAAACAGATGCAGACCGATATTCAGAGGCTGCAGGCGGCGAGTGCGACGTGCGCATTGGCGCCCTCGCAGCTGGGGGACCATCGCTGATTGCGACATTGAGCTCCAGGTGTTCTTCGCTCGTGTGTTGAGGAAGTATGATGCGCTCGAGCTGCTGCCTTCTTAGGTGGCCCCAGACTTCGCCGCTGGCCTCGGGGTCCTTCTGCCGTGCGACTTCGAGGCGCTCGCGGGGGCGATCCGACAGGAGGTGAAGTCCACTTGTAGCAGGGCCAGAATTCGCGCAATGCTCGGTGGAAGGAGTGGGCGCGCCAGGCGTTCATAGACAGCGGCGCGGGCTATGCCCGCAGGGCCACCGAGTTCTGCGCGCTCCAGGGTCATTGGGGGCGCCGGTCAGTGGCGAGCCTCGCGTGTCGGTTGAACGAGAGCTGCGGCGCTGGAAGGAGGTTTGCACTTCCGCGACCTGGGCCCTTTGCAGGTGCCGCCTGATGCAGGTTATTTGGCAGTGCTGGCACCGCTGCCAGGGCCGCAGCTTCGACGGGCCTGTCTTTCGTCTTCAACGCGGACGGCAGCCGACACCTATTGGCATTGCACCAGGGGCGCTGGCTCAGCTGTCCGATGATGGGCTGGGCGCTTTGCAGCACTCCACGCAAGATGCGAAGAGTGCCTCGTGTGGCCATGTGCCCGTGTCATCAACGAACTTGTCCGACTTCTGAAGGGCGACGGAGGTCGTGAGCTGATCGCTCTTGTTCAGGCGCTCGCGCGGCTTGGGCCATGGCTCGATCGCCGCTGTCCACGGCGTGGCTGAGGCAGGCAGATAGTCCAGAGGTTCGGGGCTGCGGCGGCCCTGGGCGATCATCCGGCCACTTGGCTTAGCTCGCAACCTCGAGGCAGAGGTGGCCCGGCTGCTGGGCGAGAGGTCTTTGGCGGCCTCGGCGCCCGCGGGTGCTTCGAGTGTGTGAGTTTAAATCGGGCATGTCTTTCTACAGGAGGTATACTCAAACATCGTGAAAAAATAGCGGGGCGATTTTTGGAGTATTTTTTGTATGTGTGGAGTAGTCTCTTTTTTCCGTCCAGAATCCGCCAGTGGGGGGACGTGCCCGACCTATGCGTACATCCCCGTGCGCTCCTCGATGGGGGGCGTCAGTGCAGGTATCCGATGGATGCTTTGTGCTGCAGCAGTGGCGCGAACAGCCGCGAGTCATCGAGGCTGTCGAATCGCCCCCGACTCAGGTTACTGGCCGGGTGTTCCGACTCAGCGATGACGATGGCATTGCTTGCGTGTCGGGTGATGCGACGAGTTGCCAGGTTCGGGGTCGCATCACGTGCGTTGATTGACGATCTTATTCTGTAGGGGGTCGGTGCAAATCTCAAATTGCTTGGTGCTCTGTTCGGTGCGGTGGGGGCCATCATTCTGCAGGCGTGCCCGCTCGGGTTCATTCTTCAAGTCGAAAGGTTTGGTCTTGCTTCTTGCTGCGTCCTGCCCCAAAGCCAAGAGAGCGGCGCGCAAGCCCGCGATGCCGCTCGGAGTTCCACTCAAGTCGTGCATCCGCAACCCTGGCCACGATCTCCGTGGCATGGATCGCAGGAGGCAGCGGACGCGGGCGATAATGGCCACATTGAAAAAAGAGAGTTGTGCGAGTCAAAGCGTTTTGCAGGGCAGTCGGCAACAAGGTGTCGGTGATCTGGAGGTCGGGGCTCTGGAGCTCGGCTAACCATTGTGCCGCGGACGGCGGCGACCCCCGACGAGGACCTCCAGGCCCTTCGACGAGCTGTTGGGGTCGTCGCAGGGGCCAAAACAGGAACCGCGGGACTCGCGGCGTATCTCATCACCCAGAAGCTATCTTCGCCGCAGGGTATCTGGGATGCCGCAGTTGGGCTCGGTAGACCAAAACGGGCCTGGAGGGCCCTCGCGTTGAGATTTCCAGCGTGTAAATCTGATTGGGCCCATGCTGACGGCCAATTAGCTGTGGTCTGGGTGTCGCTTCGTTGCTTAGACTGGGATATGACCTCGTCAGATCACAGATGACCGCGGTGAACGTTTCGTTCTGTTGTGCCCCCCCCGCTGATGTCCGCGAGCAGCTCCGAGCCAACGTCCAGAGGTGGCAAGCTAGGAGACTCCTCGATCGCCGCGCGGACTTGGCTCGAGACAGTGTGGTCTGGGCGCGTGCCGTGCGGTACTTTGACGGGGGGCTGTTCGCGTCTTTCAGGCATGCCACCCATGCTGGAGCCTTGAGAGCGCCCCGGGTTGTTGGGATTTTGATTCAAGCTCGCAGAGCGGACTGCTCGTTGGAGCGTGCGGGGCTGTGCGCGCTGTGCACTGAGGGGCCTGAGACCTAATCCCGCCTCGCTTTAAAATGCCAGGGGTTGCGCGCCAGCTTCGAGGGCGAGGATCGCGGCCGCCCGCCTGGGGGCGCGGCTCAGATCCGAGGTCGCATGCTAGGGGATGGTCCAATAAGCCTGGGCCGTGCCTGTCCCGATCACGTCGGAGTGCGTTCAGGGTTGCCATTGGCCCCCCATGCCGAATCCTCCCTCCTTCGACGCTCCTGCTCACCTCTGGGGTGGCCGGGGGCTGTTCGGGCGCCCGGGGGGGCGGCGGTGTTCCCCGACGGTTCGGGGCTGATGTCGAACGATCCCGCGCCGAGAAGGTGCGGGTGGTCTGTGGCGTGGCTCTCAGGGGAGCGGGCGCCTGTGGGAGCGAGCGGCCTGCGGAGGCCCGCCTGGTCTCTAGCGCCAGACGGTCGGACGTGCTGGGCGATGGGCCGCGTCTGGGGCCAATCAGCTACATCCTGCCCTGGCGCGCCTCGCGTCGGATCTGGCGAGCCCGGGGTCCGAAGGCTTGGATTGGTCGCCCGATGTGGCCGGAGGCGCGGCCCAGCATGCTCTGGTCTGGCGCCGTCTCCTGAACCTGGTCAAGCAGCAGCGGGTGCCCCTGCCCTCTTTCGTGTGGGTGCCGTCGCGTGTTGAGCTCGCGGGTGCGCCCTTGCATCCGACCCCATCTCTTTGGATCCCAGGCAATGCCTGCGCAGGCTACTTTGCCAAGGCTGGCGCCTCCGGCATGGCGGTGTCTCAGGTGCTGGCGGGCGCGCGTATGATGGCGCTCGCGGGGGCGCGCGTGTTCTCGCGATATGCTGCCTGGGCTGTCGCCCACCGCGTTGATGGACCAATCTGAATGGGCCTGGCGAGTATCCGCCAGGGCCGATCAGGGCCGAGCCCCGCGCCCCAGTTGTGAGCGTTGCAGGGCATGGGCTCGTCTGGGTGCACTCGAGGCAAGAGTCAGGAGGGAAAGAAACACACAGACACAATTAATCGTCGACTCCCCAGAAAATATAGGAAAATATGGGAAGTGGGGGGGAAGACAAAAACCCAGAAAATATAGGAAACTATGGTCAATATTTTTATTTGTGTGTATTTATTTGTGTGTCCTGGGGCCCCTTCAAAGAGGTCAGGTGTGGGCTGTGCAGCGTGCGTGCGCGCACTCCGCGCACGCGTGGGTCCGCGCGTGCGCCACCGGAGCGCGCGCCGTCCTCCGTGCCGGCGTTTGGTCTACCGAGAGATCTCTCGGCCAGCTGCAGGCTGGCGATGCTGCGCCGGCGGAGAAGTCTCTCCTGTCGGCCATGGCGGGGGAGGACCCCCCCCCGGCGGGGGTCCCACCGTGGTCTTTCGGGGGAGAAAAAGATACGGATACGTGTTGTCCCCCTTTGTTTTCGGCCTTTCCTGGTCCTCCTGGGGAATCCTCGTTGTCACCGCTGGATTCGCCTCGAAATTCTGGTCAGAACGCACCCCAAGAGAGGTCCGGGGACAACACGTATCCGTATCTTTCCGCCCCCCAACTTGCTTCTCC